CTACAGTTGACACTGTTAGCACCTCAGCTGGACTGTGTTTGGATAGAGAGTTCGTGTGATTCGAGGCTCTATCTGTTTGTCTTCTAGGCCTTGGTGTGAGACGCTGGGGCAAATACCACTTTTAAATTGTAAAGTGTGGCTGCCAGTGAGCCTCTCTTGAGGTTAAAAATCAGGCCAGGAGACTCCTTTTGAACCGGCTGCCCCATTCTGCCTTTCACCCAACCAAACCTGTTCCACTCTCTTTTCTTTCAGACTCGTTTCTTTGTCCCATTCCTTGTGTGTCTGTTGTGGATTTTGAGCTTTTGCTTTTTTTTATGGCCACAAACATAAAAAAGTAGAAAATCCACTTGGAGCTACTTGGAAGAAAGCTTCAGGGGAGGGAAAAGTGGTCAGTGGAGAGTTATAAAGTTGACCACGGTGTCTCACGAATGAAAAGAGGCGCTCTAGCAGCGGAGTGGGTTGATTTTGGAGGGAAAGGAGGCTCGCAGAGAAGAAGGGGTGGATGCCRGCAACTGTTCAAAGAAAGGAAGTGGAACCAGCAATGAGAAAAAAAAGTAGTGGCGTAGTTTAGGAATGGAGGACGATCCAAAGGTTTTTTTTTTTTGAGGAGGCTGAGAGGAAAACGAGGATAGGAATGAGAGGAAAGAGGAGGTACAACAGCTGAATACGCCTGGCCCGTGGTCAGCTCTGAATGAGGAGGGGGAACAATAGCCTCACTTATCGCTCATCCTTCTTTCTCCTCGTCTTGCTCCTCATTTTTCTGTACAGAAACAGAGGGCGGCCTTTCACTTTTTCACTTTCACTTGGCAAAWTTTTTTTTTATCCAAATCAATGTGTGATCTAAGCCTGAAAATGTTAGAAAAACAGTATTTTTTAAAAGTTTTTTGCAGCTTTACAGAATTTACTTCTGCAGACAGATCTGGTTCAGTCTGTTCCTAAGTTTTTAGGAACCCTTTTTTTTTTTGCAGTGTGAAGTTTCTTCCTGTCTCCTGGCTCTTTTTAGACTCGTAGCAGAATAGGGATGGATGGAGGAAGGAGGCAGAGTGGTGGTGTTAAGGGAGATGGGGGGAGGGTGTGTGTGTGTGTGTGTGTGTGTGTGTGTGTGTGTGTGTGTGTGTGTGNGTGTGTGTGTGTGTGTGTGTGTGTGTGTGTGTGTGTGTGTGCTGGCTGGCCGGGGCAGCAGCTGCTGTCTCCTCATTAACATGCGCACCTGCTCCCTGCGGCCTTTTTCCAGCGAGCTCGTGTGGCGCCTCACGACTCCAGCACCCGCCACCGCTAGGGCTTAGCTGGGCTGGCCTCCGTCTCACCCCATAAACAATCCCACCTACCCCCTCCTCCAAAAAAAAAAAAACAAAAAAAAACACATGCCTTCACTGACCTCCATGGGACAGGGTAGAGATGACTGGAAAAAATGTCAAAGATTTCACATTAATATTCAAAGTCGAGTGACGTTTTTTACTGTGTTAGTTGATTTGTTAGTACACAGAACACAGATTTAAAAAACATATTGCATCGTGGMTAATAATTTGCAACTTTAATAAACAGTATTTTTAAAGTATGTGCATCAAAATGGTCCATGATCTCATTCCAAATCATTTTAGCAAGTTGTATATGTAATTCAGTCTGATAAACGAATAAATAGTACGTCAATCTCACTGATTTTGTCATGACTCCACTGTTAAGTAATCCGCATTAAATTGTAAAAACAATTAACATCAAATCTCAATCGTCCAGTGAGAATCTCATATATTGATATTGGAAATTTCCATGCTTCATCTAAAGCCATTTCCAACAACAGCAGCTTGTGAAGTTATTTRGAGCTTTTTGTTGCATCAGTATAACTAAAATAAAAAAGCTTAGGGAGTGAGGACATTTGGATCCTTTGGTTTTGCAGTTATTGACCTTTTTACTCCTCTGCACGTTTGAGCAAGAAAATAAACTGCATCGCTGCCCTCGATGATGCATTGTTGTGTGACAGAAAAGAGCTGTTTATATAAAAGGTATATATTAAATATTCAGTTTAGTTTTACACTGATGATATGTGGTTATTCTTAGTTGCTGTGCAGCCCTGTAATTAAAGCTGAATGTAATATTTGGTCAGTTCAAATGGATTCTGTTTGTATTTTTTTCCATAAGTGTGTTTGGGAGGACTTTATCTTGTCTAAATTATCCAGAATTCACTGTAGAAATTTTGCAGATTAAAAAGTTGTAACAATTGTTTGGTTCTTAAATGACTTGAGTTACTTTTGCATAAAGTTTGACACACTTGACTTTCTTATTGTTATCAGTGCAAGAGGATAAGGATACACAGCCAAGGTACAACGTTTTGCTCTCATGCTGCTCCGCCACCACTCTCTGCTACTGTTTTTGTAGCAGGCGGCCTAGCATGTGATGTTTTCTTTTCCTCGTCACAGTTCGAAGACTGTGTAATCCCCTGAGAGGGGGACCCTGTCTAAACACACGCCTGTCCCTGCAGAGGCGCCACAGCGCGACCCTCACACACACAAACAAGCTGGACACCCTGGGAACGTTTGGGGACCTGGTCCTGCCAGCCCCTCGGGGCAAACAGACCCGCTGGCTTTGATCAGGTATTTTCGAGTGCCTCTGAGTTTCGATGGTGTGGGAAGGCCAGTTTGTCAGTGGCAAAATGTTTTTAAAGAAAACCAGTGTTTGATAAGTTGTTGTTTAAAAAAATTTGGAGAAATGATTCACGACAGAGGTTTCAGTATAGTCTCCTCTGTTTCATCTCTTGTCTGATGCTGGAGTAAATCCTCTCTGGGGAGGAAAGAGCGAGAGCGCTGAGGTGGTGGCACTGTGCTTTGAAGTTGCCATATTGTTGGCTTGCAGCTCAGACGCTGTAGCAGAAATGCCGCCTTGTCTTCAGGATGGATGAGTGCTGACAAAAGGGTCAAAGTGAGCGCATTTCAGCTCAGAGAGCTGCTGGAGGTTGGCTCTCTACCAGATCATGTGAGATTTCATGATACTGCATGAGATCCCACAATTCCAACTCTGTCATTTCTAAAGACCAGATAATCTTTCAAAACATTTCTAAAGTGCAATTTTAGATTGGGCCGCTGAGATGTGAGCGTTTCATTGGAAAGTTTAGCTGAATGACAATAGCATGCATGCAACTGTGCAAAGTTTCTGTATCATCTTTCTGTGTGTGTGTGTGTGTGTGTGTGTGTGTGTGTGTGTGTGTGTGTGTGTGTGTGTGTGGTTACTCATGCTGGCTTTAGGTGTGTGTGGCCCTTTTGTCGAGCCGTGTGCGTCCTCAGGGGACGAGCCCTCAGCTCCGCTCATTGTAATTGTAAATGTGTGAATCTGTGATCTGAGGCGCCTCTCTCTGCAGGCATTTGTTCGCTGGGGTCCGACCAGCATTTATGACTCAAACACAACCTGTGAGAAACATCCCAGGAGTTTTGCCCCCCCACCAACCCCCGTTTGTTTGGATCACTCCGTTTTACAACCTCCAACACATTGTTCACAGGGGGTGAAGGGAGGTGGGGTGGGGGGTAACGGAGACGGATGTGCCTTTTAAAGCATAGTTTCTCATGGCCGTGTTTTAAAAGCTGCAACCCTTTTCGCGAAAGTAGCTGATTTATAAGCACAGTTGTACACAAAGGAGGAATCTTTTTGTTATTATCTGGTTAATGCTTGACTGGATGGATATTGATAGTGTTTGGAAAATCCTTTTGATCAGTCAAACTCTTTTTATGCTAATTTAAACAAGATCATTTAAAGAAGGCTTATTAGCTGAACAAAAGGTTAAAAATGGTCCTTCATAACTGCATATTTTTAAGGACTTTTTATATTTTCTCAATTTTAGGAATGTTCTACAACTCCTTGGAGGCGTATTTTGTAAAATCTACTTTTTTGAGCTTTATACTATAATACCATTCCCTCATGAGAAAGAAAGAAAGAAAGAAAGAAAGAAAGAAAGAAAGAAAGAAAGAAAGAAAGAAAGAAAGAAAGAAAGAAAGAAAGAAAGAGAAAAAATAAAAAATATCTAGAGTATTGCTTTGACTCTGTCATGCATGTTTGAAAAATCCTTGACTCTTATGTGGGAGCTATGTGGAGCTGCCTAAACTCTTGCTTGTACAAAGCACCACCTATTTTTACAAAGCTCCTCCCYGTAGCTCAACTAAGCTCCTGCCCCACCTAGCACCCCTCCCAACTGAAGCATTTTTGTGAAGACKTGCTGAAGTGGGAGTGTCAGAAACAGTAGGAGGTTCTTAAAGAGACAGAGGCCAATTTCAAGGTGTTTAGATAGACCATGATGCAAAGTCTAAGTTATTTTTGATGTATACAGTGTTTTCCTAACAACTGAAGGTAACATAGTTATTTGATTGTGGTGGAACTGAACTATGCGCCTGGAAAATACATAATTCTCCCCCCAAAAGAAGTTTATTTCATATAAACCTATACAATTCAAACCAAGTTAGGTTTAATGCTTTTACTGTGTGTGTAAACATGAGCAAATGTGTTCTGCTAATATCTTGCTTCCTGTTCACTATTAGGTATTTGGATTGTGCTTAAATACTTGTTGTCTTGATATAAATAGAAAGAAGCCATTAAGAAGCTTCATCTGCCAAACTAAGCTGCTTCCTCAGCATACCTTCTGCATCATGTCCTTCCTTCTCTGGACATTAGCTGCTCTGCTGCCTCCTCCCTCAAAGTTAAACCATGAGAGTGAATCACCCGATAAAATGATCATGTTTTAACAACAATTAATGGCACAGTCAATAGCTTGTTGACTAATCGTTCTGCTGAGACTCGTCTTAAAGTTAGGTGGTTTCAACATTAAAACTCAGACAGTTAAACACTGCAGAATAATGTGTTGACATTTGAGCAGTAATGTTAAAGGAAAACTTGTGTGATAAAATTTTTAGATAACAATTTTAGATGTCCATAATGTCTGTTTCTCTGACCTTTCTAATCTTGAATCCATATTGTTGTGCAGTTTAAACGTTTTCACTGACCACCCATCTTGCTTTGTCCAGGTGCCAGGATGGATTTGTAGGAAGCAGGTGCCAGTTTCATGACCCGTGCAACAACTTGCCATGCATGAATGGCGGCACTTGTCGTGCTGTCTCCAAGGGGAACACAGTGGACTTTAACTGCACCTGCAGAGTGGGCTACACTGACCGCCGCTGCATGACGCCTTACAACATTGCCTGCCTCAGCTCACCRTGTCGAAACGGGGGCACCTGTGAGCCGGAGGGTCTCCAGACGTACAAGTGCCGCTGCCCACCTGGATGGTCAGGTAACGGGACAATGATTTATCTGGCTTATTATTTTTTTTATAAAGAGTCACTCTGAAGTTGTTAGACACTAATTTTGATTACTTTAAGATTGGAAATAAGAAGACGATTGACCTGTCTGTGCCCTCAGGTAAAGACTGCACAAAAGCTGACCCATGTGCCTCAAATCCGTGTGCCAACGGCGGGCACTGCTCTTCGTTAGGGTCCAGATTCGTTTGCACATGCACGCCCTTCTATTTTGGACAAACCTGCAAACAGGACGTCAACGAGTGCGGCAAGAGCCCTCAGCTCTGTAAAAACGGTGGCTCATGTATCAACGAGGTCGGCAGCTACCGATGTCAGTGCCCACCAGAGTACACGGGGAAGCACTGCGACAGCCGTTACCTTCCCTGCAACCCGTCGCCCTGCATGAACGGAGGAACCTGCATCCAGAAAGGAGAGACCAACTACGAATGCTCTTGTGTGCCAGGTAACATAAATGTTATTATACTGAAAATCATGCTTGAGGGGTCATTTCAAGTGTTGGTTATAAGGGCTCAATATCCAACCCAATGTCACTCCCAAGTCGTCACATAATGACACTTTTCCAAGGTTCCCTCTGCGTCTGATTTTGACACGTCGGGTACCCCACTCACATCAGTGACCAGATGAGGCAGAAACCATTGTCATAATTTCAGAAAGTGTAGAAAATGCACAAAAAATAACTGTCCCAAAGCCTAAAATTATCTTTATTAGCTCTAGACATCCTGCCCCTGACCCTAGTATCTAAAATTAAACATCAACCCTGATCCCTAAAATTAACCATTTTTAGAAAGTGTAGGAAATTCACGTCAACTACATGTCCCAAACCCTAAAATTACCTAGTATTTGCCCCAGACGTCCTATCCCTCAACCTACTACCTAAAATTAACCATGAACCCTGATCCCTAATATTAACCAYGGACCCCAACTCAAAGACCCCTATATTTTGCGTCCCAACGCTTCAAAACCAGACGCTGAGGGAACACGGAAATGCCTGGTGTGTCAATAACTGATGCGACGGGGGTACCCGACGTGTCAAAATAAGACGCAGAGGGAACCTTGGAAAAGCGTCAATAKGTGAGGAGTCAGTAGTGAGAATGTGTTATAATATCATCTTCAGTATATTTTTCACCTCTATTTATGCTTTTTATTGAATCAGAGCAGGAGAGTCAAAGTTAGATAAAACATTAGAGGCCTTCAGATGTGAGACAAAGGTGCTGTTATCAGTAATAATTCTAATAAAGATCTTGCAGGATTATTTGATTTCTAAACCAGCATCCTTGCTGGTGGAGCAATGATGTCATTTAAGGCTCGGCTTTTCCTGCTTATGTTGTGTTCCCTGTGTGTGTACAGACGTGTGTGTTTGTGCTTTGGTGTGTATTGTGTGTGAACAAAGTGGAGCAGGAAGGCATCGGGGGCTTATCGTAAGGAAATGGTTAAAGGACAACATCCGTTTCACATGGTGGACCGAAGGAAAGCTTCTGAAACTAAAGTCCTTCTTAACACCCTGTCGCGCCAAACTGCCAAACTTTTTCCTTGTTTGTTTGTTTCTGATGTTTTTTCTGTTGACTTTAGTTATACATTCATATTCCTATTTTAAAACACGTAAAAGTGACTTTCTAGGTTTTTAGTGTGTTTTACTGTTTATTTTGTATCCTCCTAGCCAGTGGAGCACGCTCCTCATGTTCTAACTCTTCTAATGTAAAATCTTCTGATTTAGAACACTAACAAAAAAGCAATTCTTAGTCTGTAAAAAAAACACTGAGCATCTCTGCTTTAATTGAAATAATAAGAGGATTAAAAACAGCTATTTTAGTTAAAAATCATTTTCAATATGATGTTTCAGATCTTGACCTCAACCATGAGGTTTTTCAGGAATATAAGTTTGTGAGAAATGACAGTTATGAATTGTACTGGTTTTGCTTTGCCTGTTATGTAACCCAACACACCACTTGTACAGTCCATTGGTTGATTCTTGTGCAACTGTAAAGCAGTGTGGGTGTTTTTTTCATGGCAGGGTTGCCACAGACCTCAGTAGGGTACAGCTGCCTTCTGTCATGGGAAGGAAAAGTCAGTTGACCACATTTAACTGAACCGACTGTGTGGATACATGAAAAAAAAGTCTTAGTAAAGCACAGGGAGTTAAATAAGTAGGAGCATCTTACTTATGTAAGGTTTCTTGTCGTTTGTAGGATTTACAGGAAAAAACTGCAACTACAACATTGATGACTGTCCGGGTCACGAGTGCCAGAATGGCGGCACGTGTGTGGATGGAGTCAACACCTACAACTGCCAGTGTAAACCAGAATTTACAGGTTCGCACAACACAAATTTCAATTATTAGCACTTTTAATTATTATTTTTCAAATACATAATAGTGTTTTGTCAGCAGTGCAGTTGGTGGAACAATAATCGTTGCTCCTCCACAGGTCAGCACTGCATGGACGATGTCGACGAGTGCCAGCTTATGCCCAACGCGTGCCAAAATGGCGGCACGTGCCACAACACATACGGCAGCTACCAGTGCGTGTGCGTGAACGGCTGGACCGGGGACGACTGCGGCGAAAACATCGACGACTGTCCCAGCGCCGCCTGCCACCAGGGGTCCACCTGTCACGACCGCATTGCATCTTTTTACTGCGAGTGTCCTCACGGCCGCACAGGTGGGTACTCGGTTTAGTGTTGATGGTTACGTTCACACTGCAGGCAAATGCGACCCAAATCAGATTTTTTTTGCCCTATGCGACACATATCTGATTTTTTATAACAGTCTGAATGTGACAAATACGATTTTTTTCAGTATGTGGTACTGAATCGGATACATATCTCGTTTTTCAAAGTGACTGCGGCGTGAACAGTAATGTCACATTCCATCTGACTTTTTCATCGGTGAGTTGGGGGTGAAGGATCGATAAGACACTAACCTCGAGTCACGCTGTTTAAATCTGTAGCTCCATGTGTTTACAGCTCCAAAACAGAACTCCAGTTGCTTCGTCTTTTAACTTTAATTTTCCATGTAGATAGTAACGTCCAGCCTCGGCCGCGGAGCGTTATCAATCCTAAAGTTACTCAATTGATACTTTATTTTCAGCTCGTTGCTTCGTTCCAACAATAAAATGCTTCACTGGAGCATCCTGGTCAGAGGCAGGTTCAGATATAAACACTGAACTAAACAAGCATGTCAGATAATTATTTATTCAGCTCTGAATGAATAACAACTTTAGATTCTACATACTAAAAGTAGCATCCGTCCCAGTGCCGTGTAGAGTTCACACTGGAGTTTGATGGAGGTTGGATTTAAATTGAATGTGAATGTGGTTTAAAAAATAAAATTAAAAAAATAAATAAATGTAATGTGAACGTTCACGCCAAAAAAATCTGATCTTTTCAAAAAATCTGAATTGAGCATTAAGACCTGCAGTAATGCCTACCTCTTGATTTCTGCCCCAGGTCTGCTCTGCCAGCTGAAGGACGCCTGCATCAGTAACCCGTGTCAGAGAGGCTCCAACTGTGACACCAATCCCGTGACTGGAAATCATTTCTGTAACTGCCCCCAAGGATACGTTGGTCCTTCCTGTGATCAGGATGTTGATGAGTGCTCATTAGGTAAAACAAAAATCACTCTGCATAACTTGCCAACACTTTGTCCAGTTGTAATTCTGAACTTTTGAAGACTTTCTCACTGTTCGTATCAGTGTACAAATTACAAGCTCATTCTCCCTGTTATTAAGAGTACTTTTGTGCACATAAACATACCCATGATTACAGCAAGTAATTTCCTCTGGGGTATTATTGTAATCACAAAAGTGAGTCCTGCTCTGCCAAACAACAATAAACCACCCAAATTATCTAATCTCAAAGACATTGTAATGACATCACAGATTTTTTTTACAGTAATCTTTTCTAAAGGTAGTTAAATTAAAGCCTTGGGTTGTTTTAACAGGGTCCAACCCGTGTGAGCATGCAGGAAAGTGCATAAACACCAAGGGTTCGTTTCAGTGCAAATGCCAGCAGGGTTACGTGGGGGCACGCTGCGAGGTGGACGTTAACGAGTGCTTGTCGTACCCGTGTCAGAACGAGGCCACCTGCCTGGACCAGATTGGAGAATTCCAGTGTATCTGCATGCCAGGTGAGAAGCTTTATTATAAGAACAAAAGTTATTTTCTCTTTTTATGACACAGTGTCATATTTAATTTTTTAAATTTTTTATTTATTTATAGATTTTATTTCATTCGTTGTTATTAAATATGTCTTTGGCTTTATATAATACTAAAATTGATTTTGCAATTTTAGTTCTTAAGTAGTTAATGTAGGGTTTCCATGTCAGATTTTCATCAATAATAATATAACCCAAAACCCTCACTTCACTAATCCTAGAAATTTCAGTGCCACCAATTGTAAATGAAACATCTACCTTTAATTTTCTTTTAATAAATATCATATAGTTGGTCTTGTCTAAATTAAGTGATAATTTATTTAACATGAACCATTTTTGTATTTTTACAAAATCTGATTGCATCATTGTAAATTTGTGATTTGGATCATTACCTGAACAAAAGAAAATAGTGTCGTCTGCAAAAAAGACACACCTGAAAAACTTTGACACATTTACCTAATCATTACCGTACAAAAGAAACAATTTTGGACCAAGCACAGCGCCCTGTGGGACACYGCAATTACATCAAAAACTGAACGTACGTCATTCATTTGTACAAATTGTTTCGTATTTGCTAAATAATTCGACACCCATTGCAAAGCCATGGTACAGTCAGCGGTAACGCATTGGAATTGCACAATATATAAAACTTTACGTACAACCGATTTAATGTTCTATTAGAAAACTTATAACTTAACTTAAACTTCTGTTTATTTTGAGCTTCTCTAGAAGGTAATTTCTCACCTTTGTGTATTCATATGGGCTTTTTGTTTAATATCTGTCAATTAAAGCAGTATATTGCTGCRGTGGGATTATCTTTCCTACTTTCAATTTTATTTTTTTCCTAACCAATCCATCTCCCTCTCGGTCCTTGCTTACTAATTGGCCAGGCTACGAGGGGAAGTTCTGTCAGATCGATACAGACGAGTGCGCCAGCGGCCCCTGCCTAAACAGCGGCAAGTGTATCGACAAGATCAACGCTTTCCACTGCCAGTGCCCCACAGGTGAGGCTGCCGTACCGCCGCAGAGGGGTTGGGGTGGGATGGGGGGGAGGTAGAGAGTGTGAGGCCAAGGGGGCCACGGAGGTCGATCTCTTTTCCGTCTGTCTCTACCTCGCTCCCTCGCTTCTCCTCTCAAACACAAACACACACAAACACCTCTCCGGACGAGCGCTAATCCCAGCCCTGAGGCAGGCTTACGCAGGCCCGGGCAGCAGTTGAAGAGGAGAGGCAAAAAAGAAAAAAAAATCTATAGGGAAAAGCTTGAGGAAGTTTGAACTTTTTTAACAAGTTTCTGATCCCTTTTGTCAAGTCTGATGATTGAGCAGAAACTTGTGAATCTAAGCAAGGTTCTGACTGAGATAAGGGAGAGGTTAAAACAGAACAAAGAGCTGCTACAGAACTCCTTAAAATTACATTTTATATCTTGGGTATTTGTTTAGCAGTTTTCCTGTAGTGAAGGTATGCAACTAGTGATTATTAGAGAGAAAAAAGGAGAGAAAAATGAAAAGATGTTTTTTTTGTTTTCAGTTCTTTTATTGGGATCGCTGAGGTGGAAATGATTCTTTTTTTTTTTCATTTGGAAATAGAAAAAAGAAAAGTCGGGCGGATCAAAGTCAGCCTTGGTGGAGAGAGGCTGGATTCCTCCTGTTGAGAGAAAAATAAAGGAAGATGAGAAAAAAACACAAAAAGAAAAAACATCTCAACAAGAAGGCTTTAGGATTAGTGGAAAAGAGTGAACAGAAGAGCTTAAAAAAACTGTGTGACACTGAGTGAGGAAGCAGCTCAAAGTGTTGGTGATGAAAGCGTGTATTTTTTTTTCACGTGTGTTTCACGTGTGTGTGTGTGTGTGTGTGTGTGTGTGTGTGTGTGTGTGTGT